TTGCTTCGTTGTAGTTTTGGTTCATTTCTTGTTTGATGTATTCACCCCCTCATCGCTCATTATCGTACTTTTGATGCTATTGGATGTTTTTGATGCTATGTCAATGAATTCTTCCCCATTATTGTTCATGTTCATATTGTCGCCCCGCGGATGATAAACGGAGGAACTTTTTGGCGTTGTTTGGCGGTGCTTCAAAGGCGGGAAAGAAACATTAAGTTTGTTGAGGTCCCGCACATGCAGCCGGGACAGCGTCCAGTTGGGTCAGTGGGGTCGGGCTCTGCGTTAAGCTGGCCTTAAGACCCACCTTTGCGTGCTGTTCGGGTCTGTGGGACCCATTTACTTTTTTTATTAGGAGAATCAAATTCACTGGCCCTGCCTGATTTTCTGTGAAGAACATACATCAGAATAAATTTTTAATGATCACACACCGCGTACTCCCCCTCCCCCTCTACACATTTCAATTACATCTAGAGTCTTCGGATCTTTTGGATCCAGAGCTAATAGAAGTGTGGTAACTGATGTTCTGGATATCTAAACTCTGTCCTTTTACTCTCTGGTCCGCTGATAGTGTATGCACGTGTGTGGGTGTGTGTGCGCCCGTATGGTTTCTTATCGCAAACGATCACGATGGCCAAAAGGTGGTCTGCGTAGAAGGTCCTGGAAATGATTTTTGAAGAGAGCGAACCTTTTGACGATGATGTGGAGGAAGAGGATGGAAGGAAGCAGCCAAACCCAGCATCAGAACAAAGCAGTCAGCATGGAGCAAGTGAGGAAATATGGATGTCGAAAAATTTTGCAATGATATCATCTCGACCAAGAAAAGAGCTACCTCGCAAGGCTGCCAATGTGATAAGGATGCAACCAAGGCCAACACGGATATCAGATACTCACTCACAGGACCTCAAGTCTTTTTTGAGCTAAACATCCTAGATTTATCCAGAAAATTGTTCTTGACTACATAAGGGGGTTGGACATAAACGGCAGAGGAGTATTTTGTTGTGATGGGCAACGAAAGGCAGATACATCAAGAAGTATTTTGGTATGACGGCGATATACTGATGCAAAACGAGCTATCTATCAAGCCGTGATGCATTCACCCTTATGTGATCCTTGTATTTTTGTTACACAACCGGTCTTCGTGGGTCTGGTGGACTCGTAGCATTCTGTGGTTTTCAATGCCTCAAAATCAAACACTTTTGTGTCAGGTACTCAATAGATGTTTACATCATCCCAATTACAAGCGGTATAAACAGTATATGTGGCAGCATAAACAACACAATAAAGAAAATCAATTAAAATCAAGACATGCCTGGGAAACAAATTTACAAGTGAAGCAATCCAAAAAACACTTCCTCCTTCTAAATTATTGCTGTGAAGAACAAGTTCCTGGATGGGATTTAGGATGAAAAGCTCAAACGAAGACTTGATGTCCTGTGTGTGAATAGCCGGCATTCGTGTTGGCCCTGGTTGCATCCTTATCACATTGGCAGCCTTGCGGGGTGACTCTTTTCTTGGGCGGTAACAT